CTGATTCTACTTTTTAATAACAACTGTAAAAGCAGTTTGAGCATTTTTCAATTAATTAAATACATAGTGTACGAGTAACCTCTTGTCATTTTGCCCTCCAGGACCTGAGCTAATTTGCGTGGAATAAAATGTTTTGAAAATTAACTGATATACTGGTCTGATCATTGTTGTTCTATTAAATTATAGTCTGCCAAATGAGTGGTGTATAATAGTTACATACTGTACCATTCCCTTATTTATGATGGCGTGGTGGTTTTCTGAAAAAAAACTTCTCCAGCACATTTCGAGAGAGCACACTGGAGAGGCCTAATTAGCAGGCAGGAGATGGTCTATGCACCACAGGCATCAGTAGACTTACAGTGCAGGGAGACTTCAGCAATGAAAAACAAAGCCTCTCTCCATTCTCCAGACCTCATTTTCACCTTCTTTCATAGCTGAAATTAAAAGTGTTAATTAAATGACTTTCTGCTGCATAAACTCCTATGGATTAGTTAGTAGTTTACACTTTAACACATGGGAATTGACTCACAATATTAAAACACACAAGTAGTTTAGAAATGTTTTTGCCTTCAACTTGCAGAACCCAGTATGAAAAGATGTGTCCATAAAATGAGTTTTTTGGACTACAATGGCACTTACCAGGCATAAAACTAACTTTTGCATACCTAACACAATGCTAAAATCATAAAGTGTATTTTCCATTTACACAGTCCTAGAAGTTTAGAACACAGACATATAACAGCACCTTATGTATCCTGGTAAGGGAAACTAACCTCTTGTCCCAGTCCCACATTAAAGATAATACAAACTCAACTGGGAAAAATTTATCAAAAAGCCCTGAAATTTTGAAAATAGCTTTTCCACATGTTTATTCATAGGTGATGAAGAATGTTCTTCCAGCATGTATTTTAATATTGTATTTTATTTCACAGTGTGCAACAATGGTAAGTCAAACATATTGCTTGAAAAATACTTAAGGCCTAAGCATTACAAAATATACAGGTGAAAGTTTGCTAGTTTTAGCTAAGTAACTTAACAGTAATGACAACACGCTACTCTGAAATCATAAGAAATACGGACAATAGATAACCAAGTCTATTTTTTCACAAACTTGCAAGAGTATCATACATGTGGAACACTGCACTCATCATGCTAGTTAAAAGGAAACCCAGCCTCAGTTTATGCTGAGTAAGACTCCCCACTTGCCACCACAACACTCACACAGTAAAAGCTGTAATTCAAACTAAGCAAGGCTGTATTTCAGTTTAAAAAATAAATTAAAAACCCCCACAATATACTGCAGATTACTTTTGGTACCAAAGCAAATTGAGATTCTCAGTCAGTATTAAAACACTACTTTTTCCCAAATAAATACTAAATAGAATATACAATCACTGTCAAATAAAAGTACTCAGGTCAAGCATTTGTTTGTAGGTGTACAAGTACATACATAAAACATACACACAGACAAAATATGAAGAACACAAGCAATGTATTGCAATAACAGCTCTCTTCTTAAAGACAGATTTATGTAACAGCATAAAACTTGGAAGTTATCTTTACTACTATTAAAAGCTCCCCAGTATCTCTAGATGCCTGCCTTCAATAAATCCTGGAAACATTCTGCTCACATAGTAAGTTTTAAAGACTGTGCAGCATATGTAAGCTTCAATAAAATCAGTCCAGATCTTTAATTACTCCATTCACCCAGCAGCTGCTTTAACAAAGTATTTTTCTGAACACGTAAAAATGTAAAACACCCCAAAAAACCAGTCACCTATGTGCAATGACCGCTCAGCACCTAACAATAATGGATATACTGAAGGACAAAATGTGAGTTGTGCCAAGCCCATAATTCTCAGTAACTGACTGTAAAGCACTTCGAGTCAGCATTAAGCTTTCAAAACTCTAACCCTAATCAATCGTAAACAGAGAAGGATCTCACCACAACACGGGTTGCAGTCGAGACAGCCACCATACACAAAGTAGTAACACCACACAGTTTCAGAAGGCTTTAAGCACTCCCCCAAAGAGTAACACCTTAGCACACAGAAGGCTTCAGGCATCTGCCCATACAGAGTAACACCATGTCACTTCAGAAGGCTGCAAGCACTTGCCCTTCTTGTTCTTTAGCCCAACCTTTTAACCCCTCACGTTGATGCAGTGCACCTGTGTGCCCTCTGTTCCCGTTGGGATTGGGCAGTGCCCCTGGGCACTCCATGGCTCATTGCTGCCAGTGCTGCTCACCTGCTGCTCACAGCTGTGCCCACTGGGGATGAGGCTTGGCCATAGCCCCATCCCAACTACCACAGACTGTGTACCTACAAGATCTCACAGTTATTTTTAAAATTTTAAACACCAGCACATAACTTAATTTTTCCGCTTTTTCTGATTTGCATAGCATTCTTCCCAAGTAAAATGCAGACTTCTCCATGAAAACAGGCTTGTATATACAAGCTGAAAAATAACACCACCTATTTAAACACGAGCTAATTATACCTGGCATTTTGGACTTTGGTGGTAATGTATTGATTGCCATAGAGCAGAAAACACCCCTGTTGGCCAAAACCAAAGGTGCACAAGATTCAGAAATCTACACAGAGACAACCTCTCCCCTTCTCCAAACACTTCTGCCCACAGGTCTTTTAAGGGTACAGGACAGCAAACACCATCTCTCCAGGCTGCAGGGCACTTGGAAAAGTATAACTTGCACACATTTGGTGACAGCATGGCAACAAAAAGCCCATTAAACAGAAAAAAGGCAGATAACTCGATACAATCAACTTGCAATCATTTTCTTGTAATGTGTTAGTGAATGGGTGCCAGCTAACTAATCTTTGTAGAGAACAGACCTAATTTATCCACAGCAGGATGTTGTCAGATTATGTTCAAACTAATAATTATTTCTAGCAGAAAGGCAACATTATACTTTGTAGAAGTAGACACTCTGTAGAAGACATTTGCTCTGAAAAAAAGATGTTCATATTCTGTTGGATTAATGTGGGTGGGGCGAGGATGGATGAACCAGAAAAACCCACCTCAGCCAATGAAACACCCTACAGGAGCAAGCAGTCAGGTGAATCAGGATCTTTTAAAAATGCATGGCACTGGGAGAGAGGAACATTCCCAACGCCCCTCACAATCATTTTTTGAAGAGAAGCTTAATTAACTTTGAGTAACTTTTCAGTGGAAGCTGCAATTCTATGAAGATATTTGCTACACTGAGATTTCTCACTCCTTTCCAAGGTCTAACATGACCCTGTGTGACCTCAGGTGTTGCAAAAGCCACAGAAGCCTGTGAGGAATCCCTCTACCACACCCAGACATTTGTTCAACCATATACCTCTATAGAAATATTTCATCCTCGTCCAAAAGACAGAAAATCTAATACTCCCTTTCTAATAATTTCTAGTGATTCATTGGTCTTATTAGAAGTTTGCTCCTTAGTTTGTCATAAACTGATTTTTATCTCTGTGTATTGTCAACACATATTGCTGTAAAAATGTTGTGTTTTGTCTGGAGTATGCAGTCATATAAATTCAAGTGTTCCATTACAGATGTAAAGATTATGGTCAGGAATGCACCTTTTATTCAATCAAGTTAGAACTGAAATTAAAGAAGTTAGAAAGTAACCATATAGTACCAGTTAAGAAGGTAAACTATGTTTTGTCCAACATATTTGTGGAGAGCTTATACAGAAATCATGTGTTTATAATAATAAACACACCATTATGATTGGGATTCCTGATAGATTCAGACCAAATTCAGCAATCATCGAAGAGTCAGGAAGTCTACTTGAAACCAAGCATTATTTGAAATATTTATAAGAAAAATATCTGCCTTCCCTTAAGTTTTATTTTGTTGTCTTTTTAGCACTATATAAACAGTATGGCAGTTTAACTATAGTATTTGATGGTTTTAAGTGCTTGGATGTAAAATGTTACTCATCAGCTTAACATCCATGATGGTGCTCTATGTAATATGTTATTTTGCAGTACTGCTTTACATTTGCATTACCACTTAGGCAGGTAAACAGATTCTGAGGCTATCACAAGCATTTCATTAAACATTTCAATCTCAGTACTATAATAATCCATTTTAAAATATAAAGAGTCATATGAATTATGGGCTGTCTCAGAGAGCTGTGGAGGTCATTTGCACTTAGTTCATGGTCGGGGGAGACGTGAGAGTCGTTTGGGGGAGGCACATCACTCCTGACCCCAGCACTGAGAACTCAGCCATGCCTCAACCCTGGGCTGCTGGAACAGGGCACAGCTCTCGCACCTGGAGCCACACCTGCCCCTTCCTCACACACCTGGAACTTTATTTTCCTCCCCTCCAAATGAACAGTATGGCCACTGCATACTCCTCATCCTTTGCCTAAAGGACAAACAAAAGACCATGGATGACACACAACCAGAGCGGGAGGCTCAGCCCTTTCTGTGACCGTGCTCTTTTCACTGGGCAGTGCCCTGAGAGGAGATGCAAACAGTGCTGCTGTTCTCAGGTTTCTGATAGCTCTCTTGTTCTTTGTATGCCCAAGCTGGCTCTAGGAAGGCATCTACATGCCACAGCCTCTGCACAAGAAGGGTCAGTGTGGAAGGAGCTGTTCAGTGCACTGCTTTTACTCACTATGTCTTTGAGAACTAAAGATTATCCATACCATTCTAATTTCGGTGCAAGGAATAGCAAGAGCTTGGATGCCTCACCAGACTCCAGCATCTACTGATTCAACACTGTAGAGAAGAAACAGCAGCCACTACTGCTGGAGGTGTTTTCCCTCTTCTCCACTCAAGGCAGCTCATGTCAAAAGCAGTTCTCCTGAGGCATGTGTTGGCTGAGGCAGCCTCTTTGATGAGTGAAGTAAAAAGTGTGTTCTGGAGATAATGGAATCGCTTGTACCATTCCCACACCTTAACCAGATACATTTTCTGAAATAGGTGTCTGGCATGTACACACACAGACCAGTCCTCTCCCCTCACACTGGCACACACAAAGAGTAAGTCAAAGAGCACAGGTTTATTTTGCATTATCCAGGGTGTCTCTGGAATGTGAATATTATGCATGACAGATCTGCACAGCTTTCTAACACGTCCAATTTCTACCACATCCAAGGGATGTAACTGCACCTGCTGAAAAGGCGACACACCAGGGCCAGTCCTCAGCAACACTCCTGTCAACACACCACCCTTCCCAGACATGACGTCTGCACAGCTGCCTGTGGATGCCCTGTCCTTTCATCAGAGCGACCCAGGGCACTGGATAACTAATATTTGATAACACCATTAACTTTGGCTGAAGTCAGTCTGCGTGTGCTCAGGGAAACAGTTCAGTTTGCTTCCCTAGCAGGGAGAGAATGAACAAGGAGCGTGCATGAAGCCTCCTTCTTTAACCAGCACAGCTGCTGACAAAGGAGCCTGTATCTCTCGCCTTCTCTGAAGTTAATCCCAGCAGTTTAAAGCAGACTTGTGAAAAAAGCATGAATCTGAAGTTACTCTGAAATGCTACTCCAAGGACACATTAGTTCCACTAGAGTCAAAGTATACGCCAGACGCAATAGGTCGAGTTCTAGTCGAAGAGATTGCACAGAAAGTAGGAGCTAATAATTCTTAATTTGGCATAACATGACATTCCCAACAGCTTCTCTCTTCTTCCAGTAATTGTATCTTGGCACTGTACATATTAAAAAATCATTGCACAAAAGACATGTGCTGTTGAAAAAAAAAAACAACCAAAAACCAAAACACCTTTCTTTGTGTTGTGTCATTCCAAAAACTGAAGACACTTTCATTGAAAGGGAAAATACGCTGATCAAAACACAAAGGGAACAAAACCTCATTCATTCCTTATTTGTTTAAGAATTACTAAAAAACATTTTTGCAGGAGGCTAGGGCAACAGTAATTTAGACATTAATAAATTGAGTATTGTAACAATAACTATTCCATTGAATAAAAGAATTCTGGCAAACAACTTTTCACATGGCATTCAACAGATATTAAAATAAATGAATGAAGTATGCAAGTTAAATTACTTCAAAAATAAAGACTTTCCAGCAGTTTACCATAATGACAACATTCAATAGAAAGATACAATAGCTCTTTGTAGCCTAAAAATTGTCAGTTTTATTTTACAAAGATAACTTCCAAAAGCATCTTGTCATGACAATCGAGTTTTGAGGAAAAAACAACCTGTCATTTGATAAATAGAAGAAATTAACTGTCATTAAAGCCACTTAAGCACTCCTCCTTCCTGTTATCCTTCTCATCTTGGCAGTAACTGATAAGATTTCAGGGAGGATCAGTCATTGATGGCAGGATCTAGAAAAGAAACAATTTTTCACACAGTTATTCTCATTCACATGTTCCAGTTATTGTATTTCATTAACCTGCACTTAATTGGCTTCCTTCTGCCCCTGGCATGGCACAGTGGACCATGTACTTCATACAAATCACTGCTCCCTGTTACACTTTACACCATGAAAATATCCAGGTGGCTGCAATGCTATGGTGTTAGTATTACCCACCAAGGTAACAGTAAGAAAGTCCTGGTAACAGAGTCCTGTCCTCCACCAACTGTGAATTGCTATTACCAGCCAGTGCTTTAGCCAATAGGGACCAGACATGACTCATTATCATGCAGTTCATTATGGGACATGGTTGAACTTGAGCCTGTAACTTGTGGAAAATGTACCACTCGTCCAGGAACACACCAACGAAATAAATGAAGGGCCAGATGCAATGGTTACAGCAGAATTAGTGAAGAGGTAAACTGTAACTGTTTATTTCCTTCCCCTGTTCTCCCTAAAAGACATTACCGAAGATTTTTTTCTGACTAAGCAAGCAGCTTCAAGAGGAAAGGAGGACACGGATTGGGCAAAGAAAAAGCTCTGAGCCTTGCATATCCAGACTAAATCCTGTGCAACCCCAGGAGGTTGTGTGCATGGCAACCCCACTTCCAACATACAGAGTAATTAATTGTATTCCCACATTAAAGCTACCATGGCACACCTCCACCTTGGCAGATTTCTAGCTGGCTTTAATCCTTTCCACCTTCCACATGCCAGGCTCCTCACACCAACTGGCCCTCGCTGACAGCTGAGTTTTCAATGCCATACAGTACCTTGATGCAAATGGGTTTTGCCCTTTTTTCCACCTTTTGCTAGGCTACACTGCCACTTAGTCACTGCACTGACATAACAACTCCACCTTCTCTGCTGCAGTGCAGCTGAACATCCACTGACGTGACAACGGGAAGTGAGGGCTTCATCCCTACAGGAACAGAGCTGCCTTTCAGTTTGCAACTTGCAGCATTTTCATGCCGAGGACAGAGCATATGGTCCTTCGAAGGGACATCAAAATAAATATGACAGGTCAGTGCAATCATCATACTGAATGAATTCAAATGATGCCATATCTAAAATGAAATGTGTGCACATAATAAAGATTCAAATGACAAAAAAATTCCCCTACCCTTTATCCCTCTCTGAATTATTTATGAATTCTGCAACTCCAGCTGTTGCCACCAGCCCAAGGACACTACTTCATTTTGGGAATGACACTTCATATTAAAAGATAAGTTAACAAAAGAAAACAAAAGAAAAAAAAAAAGGACACTGCGGGCCTCTAAAGACCATAGAAAAGCACAATACATCTTTTCCCAGCTCTTACAAAGGAAAACAATCAACAATCAATTTTGTTCATATTTCTCAATTTGTTTCCATAATTCCAGACACAGATTTCAACACTCATGCATTAAGTCAGCCATGCCTTTTTAACCATTGCAGTTAAGCAAGACTCTCACAGCATCTTGGATCCCTCACATATTTTTATAGAGTTACCTCAGTCTTACTGTTCACCATAAACTACACACCAAAGACTGCATTTCTGCAGATACTATCTGCATTTCTGACAGCTTTTAGTACTTAAAATTATCATTCCAAAAGAACAGAATATTTGTATATATGGAATTGCTTTTGGGAAAGCAATAATTTGTCCACAAATTTAAACAAAAAGAAACAACACCTCCAAGTGTAGTTTAGGGCACAAAGAATTGGTTTCAAGTAATGATGACACTTAGATGAGCAAATTCTTCATAGTGCTGTCTGCCCACTTGTAGCTGCTCTGATTTGGATTCCATAACATCTGAGTTCTTAGATTTCAAATAAGCAATTTGGCAGTGGGAAGGGGGCAGCATGGAGAAGGCTTAGCCAGTAAGCACAGACAGTTTCCATCACCTACATCAACATGCTCTCCTCTCGCACTTTAAGCTAATCCTGTTCTATTGGTTGGTCTGTAAGAGCAGATAAATAACACAGAGGTTGAGTAAACAGGAAAAAAAATGTAAATCCACCACTGGTTTTGGTTGCTACTTTATTGGTAATGGAATCAAGATCTGAATTGTTACACAAAACCACCCACTACAAGAACCTACTGATGGACCGTGTTCACTGTGAAATTCACTAAAATGGGTCAAACTTTGCAAGTTGCTGAGTGCTAAGGGACATACGGCCCCTAAATATTAACCCTTCATGACTGACCAATAGCCTCATCTCTGCCACAAGTGATATTATTCTGTTCTCTACTCATTATCTTAATTTCACAGTGTTTTCTACTTTTACTTTTACCTAACTGAACAACAATCGGGCTTATATTCTGTTCCTGGGAGATCCCAAATGCCACAAGAACTTATAACCAATTAATTATTTAGAATTTTTTTGTCTGAGGTTTTTATTTTCTCCTCCATAATCCACCTGAAAGTGGACTAACAATTGTCACAGTTCTAACACAGAAAGAGGTATGAATAAACTGCAGAGCTTCCAAGGCACCAACATCAGACATCTCCAGTATCACCCACAAATTAAAATAGAAAGCCAAAAATGCACCATTTGCCTTTAGTGCCAAGCACATGGTTCAGGCCTGATCTGGAATGCCAGATATTCAATAAACAAACTCATCTTTGGGAAAGGCAGCAAAGCCAGAGCTGTTGCTTGTCTTGCAAGTGAAAAATGCCAATGGCTTGCAAGCAGAGATCTGCTGTTACTCAGTTTGGTACTATGAGCTCACGCAGTGTTATTCAGGAAAAGGAGATGTTGTTAAAACAAACATTTATTTGCCCTTCAGTCTACACCAGAGCTGGCACCCAGCCCTGAACAGTCTCCCTCTTCCTCGTTACTGTGGGAAAGCTACCGAACAAGAATCCTCCCATTCCATCTCCTGCTGCTGGCCAAAGAAACAAAACGATACAGAAACAAAGAACAGGCAGAGAACCTGAGGTGTGGAAAATGTCACTGAGCAGGAAGTTAAGGTTTAACACTGTAACATTTGTAGATCTCTTGTAACATTACAAGAGCCCCGAATTCTCCGGGTCACAGCTATGTATTTCAGTTTATTAATAATTCTCCAATATTTTGGAAATCCTGGGTGCTATGCACAAACCCTCTCAAATCTACAATTATTTAGTTGTAAACCACTCAAACGTACATCACACTTTTTTTCTGAAAACTAGCAAATTAAAAACAGGAACATATCTCACATTCCAGGGTTGCCATTTAACTCTCAATGCCACAGGTTCTCAAGTGCCTCCTGAAATAGTTTCTAGCTGTGCTAAAGGAATGACATTTGGAAAAAAATCACCTGTGTGCTGATAGGAAAACATCCTTCTGAAGATTTTCACAAGCTAGTTGGATGCAATTGAAGTTAGTCCTCAGAAAATATGAAAAGTCGTCTTCATGCCCAAACATGCTCACTAAATGCTTCTGGCTATGACATTATTTCATAATTGACACATTACACACAAACACCCCAAGAAAATATCTTTTTGCCTGTGTCTGGATTACACGGCTATTTATACCCAGTGCTTCTGCAGAGCCTTCCCAATGTTGCACAATGCTCTTGAATACAAATGACCAATTGATCCTTTCACATGATAGGGTGGGGGATTTTTAGTGTTCAATACTTCTAATGTTTAAAAAAAAATTGTATCTCAACATGGTCTTTAATCTAATCCTTACCCTGAACAATTGAGTACATTCATATTAATCTATTAGATGCAGCTCCATACCACACCTATGGCACTGCATAAATTACTGTAATTTAAATGAATTACTGCTTGAGAATTCTCATGTGGTAAGAAACATGCAGTGTTATATGTTATGGAAAGAAAAATGTGCATTATGGTCACTAAGTTTTATACTACAGTATATCTAGGTTCTCATAAACCAGCCATTCTAAACTGTTGAAGGACAAGAGTATTAGACTGATTGCATAGAACACACATCAGTATGTCAAAAAGTCAATAATATGAAATTAAATCTACAGTATATTTAGATATATTCCCATGCCCATATTCAGAATCCACATTAAGAATGCCATTAGGCTATCTGAATAACATTACTGCAAAAGATATTTACACCTATAGTAACTCTATCTCTGCCCTGGATAACTTGCATTTTGCTCATTACGCGTTTGATCTACTGAAACATATTGAAGAAAAAAGAACATGGAGAAAAAAAAAAAAGAAAAAATAAACAGAAAAAAACCCTGAAGTTCTTTTGTTACATTACTCCACATATTACCAATGTTTAAGGATGACTTGTTTAAGATTGCACATTTCAACTACCTAACAGTAAAGAATGAAAAGCTTCTTGCTACAAGCTAAAAAGAAAGTCTTTACCATGCTCCTTGAAGAGCTCATTTTCACATTACTCAGGCTTCATTATGCTGAATCAATATTCGTTTAGTCACTGGGTTATTGACATATTTTAAAATAAAAGTATACCCTTCAGCTACTGCACTCATTACGGGTAATTTGTCTTGTCAGGGAGCAGGGAATATTATCCCAGTCTTTCAGGGGCTGACAGCCCATGGAAATACCTCCCCTTGGTTACAACTGTAAATAATTTTAAGGTAAAATATTGAAAAATCAATGACTGTTTCCTGCAATCTGTCACAAACAAATCAATCATAATCTGCACAGCCAGAGAGTATGATTTGAAGGAGATGAGAGCAGATGTAATTCTTGGCTGGAATCTCTCATTTCAAAATCACCTCACATAATGGTGTCATCATTTAAACACTTAGCAGCCACTGCAACTGCCACTCATAACATCTAGTTGGACAAAACCACAAGGAAGAGGAGGAGAAATGCTACTGCTGTTATGTAAACAAACACTTTATTTCAATGGTGGCAACATTAGCAAATTTCACAGATATAACAAGGCTTGCCCCTCCACACACATCCAAGGTGCTTTTCCATCTCAGTGGAAGATTGCCTATAAATTAGCCTCTCAAAATGCAAAGCATTTTAATTTTAACACCAAACTATGCTTCATATAAGGTGAGAAATAATATCTATACTAATACTACTTCTAAAAATATTTTATTCACTCCAAATTGCCCATAACAGAATTATGCATCAAATTCTTAAGAGATTAAGAAAGGAGAATTATCTGAGGTACCTTTGTCTTTTTAAGAGCAATAAGGATTTCAATGCTTCTTTGTACTCTACATATTATATTTCACATCTAATTTTCATTAAGCACACACTGACTCAACTTTAGGGTAGGAACCACTGCAAAGTACATGGGAAAGAAAGTCATAACCTACATAAATTAATTGCTAATATATTTTCAACTTGCATTCAAAGATTAAATGTTGTATATTGAATTACATCTGTATAAAAGATCAATTTATACATAAAGAATTAACTACTGCACTCAGAATGCTATAAACTGACCTTTGTAAATGTGAATAAATTGTGTAAAACTAATCTATTTTTACAGAGTAACACTAATGCTTAGACCAAAATTATTTCCTCATTTCTCCCCCCACCTCACTATGTTTTCACCCCAAAACTACAGTGTTTAAAAGAATTCTCTGCAGATAAAACAGGATAAAACTGTCATGCAACTGCAACCACAGGCCTAAGCCTGCATTTTTTGCACAAACAAAATTTACAAATGCTCATGGAGTGTTTCCCTCTGGAGTCTATAATTTGAGCTCTTAATCTTTAATGTGCAGAGCCCGTTATCACATACTCATTTTAATCACATTAACCTTAGCAACTCCTAATTCTGAATATTTATCTTACAACTGTGAGACTAAGAAAAAAATGCAACCAAAAGATGAAATTATTTTCTCTTTTCTTGAAAAAAATCCCTTAATACCGTTTTTAAAAATGAAAGAATAGGGCATATTGTACATCTAAGTAAACCTCTCCAAGGTTTGCCTTCCTTTAAAGCAGGCTTTAAGTCTCTTTATCTTCTACTTGGAAAACATACATCTCTAACTCTTTATTGATATACATCAAACCCACTATTGTTTGTAGCAGCTGGACAGATTCCCTTTCTCAGCAAAATAAATTATTAAAAAAAAAAAAAAAGAAACTGAAGTCTTAGAAGCAGTTAGTGCCTTAGAGGCTAACTAAGTGTAAATATCAGCCATGAAGAAAATCAGCTTATTGTGGGGAAAGGAAAGCGAAAGGAGGTGGGAGGAGGCAGTGGGTGAGGAATTGCTAAAAACCAGAGTAGCTCCTAGAAATGAGTTGCACTTCCCCACTTTTTCCCCGGATGAGATCTATAATGAAGCTATCCAATAGACAGCCTCAGGCTCCTCAGCCCCTTTCCATCTCCTCCCTGGCCCAGGGAACAGAGAGGGAGCCCGGCTCACCCTGCTAAGCCATTGTGTGAGCGAAGCGCGGCGCACAGAACGTGCGGCAGCTTCCCCCAGTGCCATTCCCCTGAGCCAGCTTCTCATTTCTTCTGACAATCACCTAATTAGGTGGGTCAAGAATTGCAGAAGATAGAAGAGATTCATTCTTCCTTACATGCCACTTCTCCTATTTGTAAAAAGGAAGGCAATGGCTCTTCCACTCCATTGTAAGGCACTTAATAAATGTTAATAATAATTAAGTCAGTCACATCTCTCAGACAACACTGTCAGATCTTTTTTTGCAGTTATTTCAGAACTATTTGGCTCACGAGGGAGCTCCCACAAGCTCCAGACAGAAAAGGACTCACGAATTCCATCCTTCAATGCAAGAGGTCACAGAGGGCTGTGCCACAGCAGACATTTCACAAGCCCTGAGGAGCAAGAGCAGCACATGCTGCTGCACTACAGAAGTTAATAGGTCAGCACCATGAGTGCAATTTCCTGCTGGACAAAGCATTAAGATGCTCTAACAGCTAGTAGGACTGTGAAGACTTTCTGATTAAGAAGTTGAACTAGATTCAATTTCTTGAATGAAAATATGGGGTTTTTTTACTTTTTTCCATCTTTATCAAGAAACAAAAGCACTATTGGTTATGGAAAGAGCTGAAAAAAGAAAGATGCTTTAAAAAAGCTTCTAGCATTTCCTCTAGTACCCACCTTCTCCATTTACTGCTCTCACTCATAATGTTCATTTTTAAGTCACTGGCATATGTTCATTTATTTAATGCAGCTCCACATGATCACTAAACAATACAGCAATGCCATATTACATCATGCAACATTACTGATATGACACTATAGCAATACTCTACCTAATGAAGTTTATAAAGTCTTCATGCTTGGGCATTACAGAAAGATGAAAAATCCTGCTTTGAAACAGCTCCTGCCTTCCAGTTCTGTCCTTCCCTTCTTCAGCACTGCTGAGACCATGTCACTGAGCTCATCTGGAGAGGACAAAAATAGAAAGAAAGCAACATACTTATTACATGCACTGTGCAATTTTCTCAACAGAAATGGGAATAAGGTTGATGTATCTGAAAACATTAATTCTGCATTTTGTAAGTGACTGAACGCAGCACCACAAAGGAAAGTGCCCCTGCTCTAATGCTTTGCTTAATGAATCATATCATACTCATAGCAGATTACTTACCATTAACTCTGAACAGGACTTAATATGGTTAAAAATACTGCAAGCCCAGCTGCATTCTGGCTTGTACTATGTCTCTTCCCATACTCAGGCAGGTACAGGATAGGATGGACTGCTGGGTTCATTTTCCCCACTGTGCATCTCACTGTTTCTCTCTTGGGTGCAATCTAGAAAGACAAAAAAAAAAAAAAAAAAAAAAAGGGAGACACAGAGAATGGGGTATGGAACAAAAATACAATATTTGTCAATAATTCAGACAGCATGTTTCTCTGACAAACAAGGATTACAGACTGAGCAATGCAAGGGTTTCTCCACCCATTGATCCTGTATGTTTGTTAAATCCCACAGACACTGTGTTAGTGCCACATCCCACTGGGCAGGTTCAATCCTGCATGTTCCAAGAGGTGCACCACAAACAGGTGCCAATGGAAATCAAAGATCTGAGGAACAGGGCAGTTAAATGGCATTTTGCTAATGAAACAGTAACAGCATTAATCACTTGCTCAAAAGCACAACAGTCTAACAATTATATGAGCATGGACACCAACTTACATCTGAACATTTCTGAGACAAGCAGAGTTCTTGTTAGGTAAACTGAGGCGAAGGTTACACGAACAAATCTAGGTCATAGGATGTGCCAGAAATGCAAGGAGAAAACAAACCTGGGTCTAGCCCCTTGCCTGCTATTAAGTTTTCCCATCCCTTCTCAGCCAGTCTAAAAGTCTCTCCACCCTTCTGCAGCCTCCTCTCAAAGAACTACCTGGATGACCTCAGCTTAAGTTTTACTTGGGGACAGTAGCACAGTGTATACCACAGGGAATATCAGCCGAACTTTAACTGAAGCAATAAATTAAATACTGAAATAAACTTAAAAAGCATAAAGAAAAAAAAAAAACTTTTAAAATTACTTTTGAAACTTAGGCTCTACAGAGCTGTCCTCTTCTCAAGTGATATTCATGAAACCTAATGCCCACAGGAGCTGGGAGACAGAAAGGTCCTTCCTAGATAAAAGCCAGAAAGTCAGAGCAAACAAAGCAATTCCTGCACTGCCAATATCATAAAGAAATCGTAGGCACCTTTTTATAATGACAGAGTATTCTTAATAAAAGCTTCCAGCAGGTTTTACAGCTGCATATTATCCAATGAAACCAGTAATAAACAGCACTGTAGAATTATTTAGTGCAACTCCAATACGCCGAGGGTCTCAACCTGGGTTTTATTTATCACACAGGCTAAAATGTTTGTTCTTGGCTTTACAGTAGCAGCCAAGCCTCTAGCTATCTTTTATCCCAGCACACTGCCATCTGGATATTGATACTTTGCTAAGGGATATGAAAGAAAAGCATAGTTACCTAATACAGCTTAATTGAAAACACAGGACCTACATATTATACCATGCATTATTTTACACAAAATTAAATCTGAAGGGCATGAAAATTTCTGTAGATGTCAGCAGAGAATATTTCAGAGGTAAATGATGTGTTCTTCATCTGCACTAGAAATGCTAAAAAATACTGTGAAAAATATGTGGTTACAGGAAGAAAAAGCTTGGTTTTGCTCTGTGGGGAAAAAAGAAATTGCTCAGAAAGGTGCGTCTCCTTCAGGAAGAGCAGGAGAGTAATCAGTCACATGTTTATTAGTACAGTAAACTCTGTTATGATGATCCATATTCACCTTTAAAGGTCCAACTGGTTTGTTTTTCTCCTCAAGCAATAATTTAATAATAAAAAAAAGAACAAAAAATGCTGCTTCTACAAATACATTCACTTTAATCTGTAAAAAACAGCTTCAAGAATCATCTACATCTGCACTACCCATATTAAGGGATACAGGCTAAAAAGCTCTAATGTTAATAAAACCCCAGAAATTATGAACTGTTAAAAATAATTCCTTGGGTGTAAGGCCAGAAAGGCTACCTGGCTTTATGTTTCTCCTCAGAGAGGTACTGCTGAGCTCTTGCAAACACCAGTCATAAGGACTGCAAATATATGTAAGTAAAGTAGATAAAGCACAAAATCTTTGGAACACAACACTGCTATTAAGACACCCATCTCTAACACTCACACTGAAGGCCAGATTCCAGCTACAGGAGCTCTCACCATGCTGCAGCACCTGCAGCCAAAAGGGAATTTGCCACCATGAAGGAAGCTATGGGCTCATGTACATCCCATAAAACAGCCACCCTTCCCACTGAGCTGCTCCTCATTTGCTGTAAGAGCCAACTAACAGTAGATGTGCCTTGCTTTAAGCAAAAAACCTCTTTTAGACATGAAAGAAAGCAGTTTTTCATTTTTCGCTCAGAGTCTACTTTCTGCATATGTCCACGGAACTGTAAGTAAAATAAATCCTAAAGACATTATTAACTTATTTGCCAACAAATTCAAGCAAATAATGCCATTTAAGTTAATTACAGGAAACTTCAAGGAAACTGAAATACAGTTTCAGCTTCTCCCACTACACTGTCAAGATCTTTGGAGTTGCATGCTCAATAACTAGGTGCTTGAAAGACTTGTCAGCTGCACTTCTGTATTTTATCCCACACACTAAAAAGGCAGCCAAAGCATTTTTTTAATAGAAAAAAAAAAAAAAAAGCCTGAAACTGATAATCAGGCTTCTTTTAGCAGACAAGAAGTGACTTAAAACAGAAAGGCTCAGAGAGAAAAAGAAAACTCTAAGCTGCCTAATACCCAAATGCTAGGCACAGAAGAGTAATTCTAGGTGTTCACGAGTTTACACCTTGCTCTCAGACCACAAACACAGAGAATGTGAACAAGGAGCATCTTGGGCAAAGGAAATGTGGGAAGAAGAATTACAACAGAGCAGCTGAGGGTGTTGCTCAGAGAGTTCCCCCTTTACCCAGGCTAAGAGCCATGAAACACTGGCACTTCCACTGCACTGCCTGACCTGGAACTCCCAGCACTGTACCTGAGGGAAGCAGCAGCGGTGTCTGCAGGAAAGGGCCCCTAAGTTTTACAGCAAATATTTTACATGCATTTTTTAGCTCTTGCCCAGGTAATAATGTATTGATTTAACATAGAAACAGCCCCCTCCCTCCTCTTTGCGTGCTAATTAGTTTTACTTCTATGGTTGTGCAAAGATGAGAAAGAAAATTTTCTCTTCGTGCCTAATTACAAAAATGAATATTCACATGTATTTATTTTTCTCTTATGAGTTGTTAATACTTTAAAATATACTGTATGAAAAATCTCTTATCAGATGTTTCCAGTAGCAATTTCCACTACCATCTGAGTATCACAGGTTTCTTTTTTTTTTTTTTTTTTTTTTTTTAATAGAACAGCTTTAAATGAAACAGGGTATCTTGTAGGGGAATTACTATTTCTTTTTTTTTTCTTTAAGAGGATTCTCTTTAGCATCACATCAGATCTCTTGGTAGTATTGTCCCAAACTGAACTGGAGAAACAAATTCAGTGTCTAAGGTCACCTATTCTGATAAAGAAATATCAAAAAGGTTTTGAGAAAACAGCCTCCTTCTCATCTACCCCTGTAAAAAGAAAAAAAAAAAGTTGAAATGATCTCCTAATGCATCTCCCTTCATAATTCATGCCGAAAGATGACATTTTCTCAGGATCTTAATTAAGATAATGATGAACACCTGTGTCGGCATTCTTTGGCAAGACAGCATTATCCATCATAATCTTTTAAGTACTCTCAAAAAAACCCAGCAAAATCGTATGACGGAACCAATCTGTTGCCTCTCCTTGCACTAAGTTTTACATCTCAGACACACAGAAGAACGATTAGATCTTTAAAGACTGCAATAAAAACAGGATCGTTAGATTTTAAAGTTTCAACAGAAAGTAGCTATTAAATTAATTAAATTAAGGTGTATCATATCCAAGATAGCCAAGTTTAACTCCATTCACTATAAACCACCTGGAATCAAACCACTTACAGTTAGAGCCTACGAATAAACTGTACTTTTAAACTATAGTTTGCTGTTACTTTCAGGATCATTCTGCCTCTTTCTATTTGTTTCTCACAGAAAGAAAATATTCTCAGCTGATCCCTACTGTACATTCATACACTGATTTATTAAGCCATTTTATGCTGTACCCTGCTTGCACAATCTAAATGAAATCATGCAAAGGAAATCAGTGTAAAAAAAAACAAATATGCAAATTCAAATGTTGCTATATTTTGGGTCATGTTTTGTGCAGTCATCTTAAATCCAAGTTCCTCTCATAGCAAAAAACCTACTGGAGTCCAACTACTAAACTAGCCAAAGACCCTTTTGGGGTCCTTTGCAGGACCAAGCAATCAGACTGAAAGCTATAAAAACAGGGATTTAAATTATTTATTTACATAAGCTGAATCTAAATTCACATACCTAAATTTAAATAATGTGAACATTGCACAGCCAGCCTGTAAATCTTTCCCACTGTTAAATAAGATTTTAAGGGCAAGTGTTTTTTCTATTGCATTAACGATTTATCTCCCAAAAATTATGAGAAAAATATACCAAGTCCAGAATTTTAATATCAACCTGCACTGTTATAGTTTCATTGGCAGCTGCAAAATACACAAACTCCTAATATCAAGAACTTGTCCATACCTTCAAATGCACGTACCTTCAGCAAAAATGCAGAGAAGCAGCAAATGTATCCTTAAGCCCCACGTTTGTTAACAGCACTGATGAATGACATAAGAGCCTTGAAACAAACTTCTTATTTCCCTTCCATCAAGTGGTTGAAAAGTCCTGCAAAGCAGATTAGTCTTAGGCTTTCACATTTTAATATGCTGCTATCAGAGGAAAAAGTTGCTGTGACTAGTCATTCAGTAAAGCTATCAATGTGCAAATAAAGCAGAAAATAGAGACATATTTAAGAAATGAGCCTCAAATTTGATATAAAGTGAAGGTGACAACCACAGCAATAGAACTATAAACTAAATGTTTCAATATCTTGAATAATTATCTACAGTTCTTTTAAAACTGCAAAGAATATAATAGTGGCATAATGTAGTGAGAATGTCAGCTTGATAGGCACTTACAATCCTGACGGCATAAGAGTCCTATCACTACCGTTTATTAATCAGCTCTGGTATTATGTTTGCAAGGCATGAAAGTATGCATGAACTCACCACAGTTTCGAAAATGTATGCCTACAGAAGAAAGATTAGTGGAACATCAGAAATAAAGAGGGTAATTTTACATGACGTTAACCTTACCTCCTCTTCAAAAAAGTCAGATGCCATGGGAAGATGGCTAAAACTTCTGCTTCTTCCTACAAAGAAAGGAGCACAGAAAAGCAGTTAGTTATTCTACTCACATAGAAAATGAATGTTAAACGTATAAAACTTGACCAGATGATACCTCACTCCCCGAACAAGGGGGATTGTCAGAGGATTATGACAGAAGAGCTTTCGAGTGGAGAAAGAAATGCAGTGCTCCAGAGCGATCGCTATAATGAAGCCGGGGACAAATACCGGTGACACCGTGCAGTCGAAAACTGATGAAAGTGCACACCTGTGTGGATTGAGCATGTAAGGGAGCGTGCGAGCCGGGGATGGACGCGTCCCGTTTACCGGGGCAGAACCACATGGAGTTTAAAGAGACGAAATTCTGCACACCGCACAGTAAAAAAAAAAAAAAAAAAAAAAAAAAATTAAAACACAAAACGGGGGGCGAGGGAAACGTAAGAGGAAAGAGGAGGGAACGGCCAGACGGAGCACAGCAGCGAGGAGGAGCCGATCCCGCTGCGGCCCCGCCAGTCCCGCCGGCGCTCCGGGACCGGCGCGGGACGGGGTCGAACCGCGCCGCCCGTCAGGGGGCGCCCCGCGCCGGGGCAGCGCCCACACCGAGCGGCTCCGCGGGGCGGCTGCCTCACCTCGGGCCGGGCCGGGCCGGGCCGGGCCGGGCTCAGCACGGCCGAGCTGCTCCGGGTCCGGCTGCTCCGGGCCGGGCAGAGCTCAGCACGGCCGGGCTGCTGCGGGCTGCTCCGGGCCGGGGGCGACAGCCGCGGCCCGCAGCGCCTCCGCGCGCCGTCCTGTCAGCGCCGCCTCCGGACTCCGCCGCAACCGCGCCCGTGCTGCCACCGCCCCTCCACACCCCGCGCTGAGGGACAGCTCCGCGGGCCCGTGGAAGGAGCGGAGCGCCCGCCGCCGGCGGGGAACAGCCAGTCATGCGCCGGGCCGGCCGGGGGCGGGCCTGGCAGGCCGCGGCCTGATGGGTACTGTAGTGCAGGGCAGGGCAGGGCAGGGGACGGGGGGTGACCCTGCTGCACGTCCGGGAGCGCCCGCCCCGCCGGCCTCGGTCCTGCCGCGCCCCCCGAAGAGAGCGGGCACAGCGCGCCCGGCCGGCCCTGCAGCGCGGCCGCTCGGCGAGCCCAGCCTGCGCCGGCCGGGGGCTGCGGATGCTGCCGCCGGGACCGAGCCCGGAGAGACACGGAGGGAGGGACGGAGAAAGCGGGGCGGTGTCGGTGTCGCCTCCACGGCGACACGGGGAGTTCCTGCCCCGGCCTGCCCGTTTTAAAACACACCCCTGCTCCTCGCGTCTCCGCGTACGTCCCGCGGGGGAGCGCGGCGAGAGCATCAGGGTCGGGAAATGCAAAAGTTACAAAATAAAATAAATTCTGAAAATATAAATTGCCCCCCTCCCTCTACCAAAAAAGGTACGGCGGATCCCGATGGCCGGGAATCAGCGGCCGCTGGAGAAGCGCCCTTCCTCAACCGCAAGGGGAAAAAAAATGCGAGAAGGGAATAAATCGGGATATGTTTCTATTGGGAAATATATCTGGTGGAATCACAGGAGATTACATCTTCTGATCGGCAGGGATTTATCCCGGTTCATATGGTTTTAATCTGCTTTCGCCTCGACCCTTCAATGAGCCGAGGGCGGGGGGAGGATACCCGGTGTGTTCCTTAGATCCGCGGGCAAGCCCTGGCTCTGAGCGGTGTCTGCGGACCCATCGCAGCCCCCTCCGCTCCCCTCGGATCGCCCGTCTCCGGCGGCCGGCGCTTGGAAAGACTAAATCCGAGCCCTCCGCGAAGCTGATCCCCGCTCCTGGCCGGACCCCGCCGCCGCTCCGCCCGCACAGCCGCCGCAACAGGTCCGGTGGCGGGTGGCCCCTGCCCGCGGGAGTGACCGGCCGAGCAGCCCAGGGACAGGGCTGCAGCTCTTCCCCGACGAAAACCTCCTTTTTTTGTTAAGAAAATCAAAACTAACAGCACCACCAGTCCGCCGTATATCCCACCTCCAATGATTTAGCGGAGGGAGGGGCAGGGGCAGAGAGCACGAGGAGGGGTGGCTGTGAAGAGGGGGAGCCGGGCCGCTAATAAATCTTATTAAAGATCTATTTTTTTTCATATACTGATTGGGTTGCATTCCGGCGCAACGCGGCTCCGCACGGTATTTAGCACATGCAGAAAGTTGGAGCTGATCTTAAATGGCTCGGAGGTGACTGCAATCCAGGAGCCGGCGCACTTGAGCCTCTGAGCGCTGGGGAGGGCCAGGGAAGCGCGGAGCCCTCCCGCTGGTTGGGCCCGGCCGCGGCAGCCCAGCGGGGTCCTGCCAGTCCTTCCACTGACAACACCCCGCGAAGGAGGAGCCTCGCCGGGCCGTGCTGAAGGCGTCAGGAGCTGCAATTTCCAACTTAGCATCTTGGCAGGACCCTTCGGAAAGCGAGAGCGAGGAGGAAGGGGAAAAAAAAGCCCCCCAGTGCAAGGGGGAGAGAGAGAGAAAGAGAGGAGGGGGGGAGGGAAAGAGGGGAAAGCAAGGGGGGGAGAAAAAGGAGGAAGCGGTGCCCCGCTGCAGGCGAAAGCGGAGCAGCAGCCCCGGCGCAGAGCAAGGTGCCGCCTCTGCCCAGCTGGCGAGGGCGGAGAGGCGCCCGCGAAGCCCCGGCCGCAGCCGCCCCAGCCCGGCAGCGCGGCGGCTCCCTCCCGGCGCCTTGGGCTCCCGGGTATATGTGCGCGCCTGGCCATGTCGTATCCTCAGGGTTACTTGTACCAGCCGTCAGCGTCCTTGGCTCTCTATTCCTGCCCGGCGTACAGCACCAGCGTGATCTCCGGACCCAGGACCGATGAACTTGGGAGATCTTCTTCGGGCTCCGCTTTTTCCCCTTATGCCGGATCTACCGCCTTTACCGCCCCTTCCCCGGGTTACAACTCCCACCTCCAGTACGGCACCGACCCGGCCGCCGCCGCCGCCGCCGCCTTCACTTCCTACGTGGTAAGAGCAGCCGCGGGCAGCCGACACCGCGCCGGGCACGACGGCATCCCGTGGGCGCCTGTCCCCCCCTCACGGGCCTGCTTTTTGTTCCCATTTTATTTTTGAGATCTCGGGGACAAAAGGGAGCGCGGCTCCCCGCCTCGCCGCCCAACTTTCCCGCATCGCCGCCGTGCCCTGCCTCACACTGTTGCTGGCGGCAGCGGCGGGCAGGGCCGGGTGCGGGGGGAGCCGCCGGCACGGCCCGGGTGAGCAGGACTAGGGCAGGCGGGGACCGGTTTCATTCCCTTAAAAAAAAATTAAATGTATAAAAAACACCAATCGTAGTTCTGCAACAATTAGGTTGTTGTGATTGAAAAGGGAACGAACTCAGAACGGGTCGGCGATGGGAGAAATCCGGGTGATAAATCCAGGCAACTTTCCCCTGCACGGCGATAATTGGGTTTAAATATTGCAGAGCTCTAATCCCATGGCCGCGAGCTGCTCCGCGGGGCTGCGCGGGGAAGGGAAGGGGAAGGTAGGGCACTGCGCCGCCGTGCGCGCCCGCGGGGCACCGCGGGGCCAGTCCGAGTGCGGGACATCCACACCGCAGAGCTGCGGCCACAGCCAACGCCCCTCAGCTCCCCCCAAAAACCGGCGACTTTGGCTCAGCTTCTCCTCTATGTTTAGGGCAGAGTTTTACAGTTCCTTCTTTCTTTTTTCTGTATCCTTTTATTTTCCTTTGCATTTTTATTTTTGCCCTTCTCACCCCCCTTTTTTTTTTAAATTTTTTTTTCTTGGTTTGTTTCTCTTTTATCTTCTTCTCTCTTTTCTTCTTCCTTTTATTTTTTCCTCCTCCCGTCCCTGGGCAAGGAGGAGCGGCCCAGCCAGCCCGGCCGCCTGGGCCCGGCAGGTTGTCTGCCGTGATCGCAGCGCGGGGGGAAAGGCTCCGGTTCCCGTGCCGCTGTCCGCCCCCACGCCGCGCTGCCCACTTGCTTTTCCGCGCCTGCATTTGGGGGAGAACCGCTGGATTGCTGCAGGCAGCCGGTGTTCTCCGACTAGGGGCCCCGGAGAGCCCCCAGGGCCCTTCCTCCCGGGAAAGAGCCCGGGGACAAGCCGGGCAGGGCCCGGCACCGGGGGAGAGGCGGCGGGGCGCGGGGCAGGGGCTGCGGGCAGGCCCTGGTGTTGCCTTTGCCCTGTCATCGCCGCCCCGCGGCCGCTGACCTCGCCCCTCCGGGCCGCTCTCCCCTCTCTCCCCAGGGCTCGCCCTACGACCACACGCCGGGCATGGCTGGTTCCCTGGGGTACCACCCGTACGCGGCGCCGCTCGGCTCCTACCCCTACGGGGACCCCGCGTACCGCAAGAACGCGACGCGGGACGCCACGGCCACCCTCAAGGCCTGGCTCAACGAGCACCGGAAAAACCCCTACCCCACCAAGGGCGAGAAGATCATGCTGGCCATCATCACCAAAATGACCCTCACCCAGGTGTCCACCTGGTTCGCCAACGCGCGGCGGCGGCTCAAGAAGGAGAACAAAATGACCTGGACCCCAAGAAACCGCAGCGAGGACGAGGAGGAAGAGGAGAACATCGACCTGGAGAAAAACGACGAGGACGAGCCCCAGAAACTGGAGGGGAAGGAGGACCCCGGAACTCCGGACACGGGTAGGACAGCGGGCTCGGCCGGGTCAGGGCGGCCGCGCCCTCGGGGCTGCCCCGGGCCGGTGCGGTGCGGCGGTGGCGGGGCGGCCTGTTCCCCCGAGCATGCAGCCAGGGCGGGGGGAGCCGGCGGGCAGCGGAGCGGGCCTGGCCACGGCGGGGACCGAAGGGTGGGCGGCGAAGTGGGTGGGCGGGTTTGGGGGCGCAGGGCGAGACCGAGAGCTGCCCCCCCACCCCTGTCCTTTCTCCCCCTACCAGGAGCGGCGGATCCCAAGGCAGCGCCGGGCTGCGAGCGCCTCCAGGAGTCCCCCGGCCCCCGGGAGGCCGAGAGCGGCCTCAGCGACTCGGATTGCAAAGAGCTGGCGGAGGAGCGGCTCGACGGGCCGCCCGTCCCCCACAAGGCGCCCGGCGCTTCCCCGCTGGGACCGTGTCCGGCGGGCCGCGGGCCGCCGCCGGCGGGCGGCGAGGAGCCCCCGCCGTACCGCCCGCCCTCCGCCGCCGCCGGGCCGCCGCACGCCGCCGACCTGCACCCGCTGCTGCCCGCCGCCACCGGCGCCTCTGTCATCCACTCGCCGCAGCAGGCGGCCCTCGCCAAGCCCAAGCTCTGGTCGCTGGCCGAGATCGCCACCTCGGCGGACAAGGCTAAGGAGGCCGGCGGCGAGGCGGCGCCCCCCGGCCCCGCCGTGCTGGGCGGCAGCGGCCCGTCCCGCTCGCCACCGCGGCCGCGCTCTCCGGCCGCGCAGTGCCCCTTCCCCAACGGGGCGGTCCTGCCCCGGCCGCTCTACTACACGGCGCCCTTCTACCCCGGCTACACGAACTACGGCTCCTTCGGGGCCCTGCACGGGCACCCCGCCGGCGGCCCCGCCGCCGCCGCCCCCGGCGCCCACTTCAATGGATTAAATCAGACTGTCCTCAGCAGAGCCGAGAGCCTGGCAAAAGACACTAAAATGATCAGGAGCCAGTCCCAAGTAGACCTTTGCAAAGACTCACCTTACGAACTGAAGAAAGGTATGTCCAACATTTAATATCGGCTTCTCCTCTCTAACCCCTCCTGGGACTGTGGTTTTGTTCCTTTTTTTTTTTTTTTCCCCTTTTTTTAATTTATTTGAGAGAAATAATAAATTGCTTTGGCAGTTATTTTTCCAGTACCAAAAGAAAAACAAAACAAACAGAAAAAGACCAGCTCCCCCCTCCCTCCCAGCACCCTCTTCAAAAGTTTATAGAGTCTATTTGAAATGGCTGGGTGGAAACCGCCCAGAAATGTCTTAAGCAAGTGAAAAGCAAACGAGTGACACGTTCTCTCTCACACACACAAAGAAGAAA